CGCAGAGCGGGGTCGGCGGATAGCGCAAAGCAGGAGTGTGAAGCAGTGTGCGGTGACCTACTCGCGCAGCAGAATCATGGCCAACGTTTTCGCTTTGATCGTTTTGATAGACTTCCTGTGTACTTGCTATGACGTCGATTCTCGAGCTGCCGGTGAAGAGCCCCAAGAGATTGTTCCTGGGATCAGGACTAGAAGAGGCTGCTTTGAGGTCCTACAAAGGGAAAATCAATCACTCATATAACCTCTATATGTTATAATAGTTTCCATTTTCTTTGCCATTATCCAATATAACTCCTATATGAGGTACCTTTAGAAGCAATCCCTGAGTCGTCGCCGCTAGCAACCCCAAAATGATCACCATCATCATCGACACAAGGTTCAAATCACCGCGGACTTGTGCCTCTGCGCCTACACCCTGGACACGCTTTTGTTACTCATCGCGAAGGGACCTCGAATATTCCTGGAGTTGACGATCATGACTGATTCCTTTGTCCTTCTTTGCGGATTCTTTGGTTGTTGTTGAGGTTAGTGACTTTTTGCTTCTTCAAGGTCTCAAAGGGAACCTTCAGACCTCAAACAAGTCGCCTCCATGTACAACTGAGGATATGTAGAGACCATCATGCAGTATTTGGGACATGGCGAGCTGCTGAGTACAGTTGCGGTCTTCCGCATGCTGCGCTTGGTGAGGACTGAGTGTGTTTTTCTAGTTCGGCAAAACCACGGCTCTTCTGCAAATCCCGAAGCAATGAGGTTCTCACAGCAAGGACCCTCAACAGCGAGCCAGTTTTTGCAAAACAGGATCCTGCGCGTGACCCGGGTGTTGAGGCGAACCGGGGGCTTTCGGGAGCTGCAGAAATTGATACGCATCTGGGTCATTCTTGAACAAGTGTGGCAAGTTTATGATAACTCCTGCTCAACTAATTGTAACAAATGCATGTCAAGAAACGGCCATGTGCAACCCAGGCATGCTGTCGACGTGCTTGAAGACATTGTTTTGGTCCTTCGTATTCTGCTTTGTGATGATGACTGTCTGGGCCCTCTTGATTGTAGAGCTGGTCGACCCTCTGATGGAAATCGTTGATCGAGAAACTGGAGCATTCAGCGATTGCCCGCACTGTTTGAAGGCAACATCTTCGGTGATGCGCGCGAATGTGCTGTTGTTCAAGACCGTCATCGCTGGGGACAGTTGGGGACAGATAGCTGTGCCCCTGATTGAAGCATATCCGCTGACGGCCATCATTTTTATGGGATCGCTGCTGACGCTGGTCTTTGGAGTCATGAACCTAATCGCGCAGCCCTTAGTTGTGGATACCCTTTGAGTGGGATCGTCTGCGGCTTTATTAGGATGCCTTTCAAGAGGCTAACACGGCGTAAAGTCTAAATCATTTGCCACAGCCAACGCGCGAACGCCTACCTCAAGAAGGCAGTCACTCCGTGATAGTGCTTCAACTTTCTTTGAGTTCGCTGAAGTCAGCGCTTACCTGCTAGGTCGTCTGCCAAAGGGGTAGGTGGCACCAATTCTTCCCCGCAGTACCAAGGATTCTAACCTAAATAAGTCAGACAAGGTGGCGGTGGTCGTGGATACCTTTGCAGAGGCACGCCAGCGTGACGTACTGAATTTGGCAGAGGACAGTCAGAACTACCTTGCCAGAGCAGCCCATTCCAAGCAACCCAGCAGGGATGATTCGTGACAATTGAGAGTCATTAAGCGTGTCTACATACCACACAATACCACTAAGTCGGCAGCGGCACTTCTTGTAATCGGTATTGCCACTGTTTTCGACTTCTGTGATCTGGACTCCTTCCTAAGTTGAGGGAGAGAAAGGAGATGGAAAACAACATGAGCATTGACCGGGAGCGGCTGGAGCGGATTTTCAAGCGCAACTTGGCTGATGTCCTTGAAGGAGGTTAGGCTCAGGCCTTTCAGATTGTTCGGATTGTGCAGTTGTTAGAATTCTGGGGCTTAGGGTATGGCAGTGGTGAGTAGATATGAAGGTTGGGGGTTCACGGTATCTGGATTACGCGGTGCTACGAAGGGCTTGTATTTGGGAATTGCCTGGGCATTTCGCTTGCATTTGGCTCCCTTCGATCTACATGCAGGAGCTCCTTGCCCTCATCCCACAAGGTCCGGAATTGTGGTTTGCAAGGCCAGATTCTTCGTTCGCGTGCATTCATACCAAAATCTAATCTTCTACAGTGCAGGAAGGCCGTCCCGAGAATCCTGCGAGGTCTAGAAACTGTTGCGCGGAGCAGGGTGAGTAGGTTGTAGGCAGAAGATTTGCCGCTCAGAGCCGAGCTTTAACAGGTGGTCCGCCGCAAGAGCCACAGTGGAAGTCAGCATCTGGCATTCTGAAGTGTCGCAGTGCCTCTCCTAAAACCCTAAACCCTTGTTTGCAATGTCTCACAACCTTAAATATAAAAGGAACCACGAGTTGAAACACATGATGCGCGTGCAAGATAATGTAGCCAATTCCAATCAAAGCCGGAATGATAGTTCCAAGAGGGGTAGCAGTAGTCATCAATCCGCAGCATGATGAGTTTCAAGAAGCGGCTAAGGTTTAAGGCTAGGATTGGGATTCTTGGCATGGGTTCTGCTGGAAAGGGGTTTCGGAGATTGGGTGGGGGCATCTAGAATCATCGAGCCCTCAGCCAGGACTATCCAATGCGAATTGCAAAGCCGTTTTTGCGCCACCATCAGGTGATCCCAATCCACTTTCAATTCTAGACACACTTAGAACGTTGAAGTCACCCTGAGCCCCCTAACATCAACTGGGTAGTAGTGGTAGAGGTAGCGTATACTCAGCTGGCACCCCCAAGCCTGAATTGAGGAATTGACACCGACGGCAGCGGCATGGTGACCTTTGACGTGCCTCGGTTGGGTTCTAGCTGTGGGCGGGGAAGGGTTCCAGTCGGGCTTGAGGTTTTTTTCCTGCAGGGCTTCAGGTAGGGGAGAAGTCGCACCGGCTCTGGCCTGTGATATGCCAGGGATTCATGTAACTTGTTTTGTAGAGGCTAATGTCACATCCGAGCATGCAGCCATTCTGACAGACGCGAGATGATATCCTGTCCTGCTTGTTGCAGTGCTGGCGGCAGACATTACTTTTCTTAGTTGTTGCTTGGGGCCGAGGCGCTTCTACTTAGGGCTATGCCACGAAACAGCAGCGAACACGACAGGAGTAGGGATCCTCTCCAGTAAGCCCTGAGCCCGAAGCCCTGTAAATCCCAAATCTGCACCACCCTCATCCTCCTCGGTTTAGTTTTTGTAGCATCAGCCCAGGAGCTGCTCGAGGGGGCGCGAAGGGACCCAGAGTTTCAGAGCCGCCTTCGGGTGATGGACATTGACGAGGCGCGCTGGCGCGTCGGGGAACACTGGGGCATTTGTACAAATGTCAGGTGGGCACTGCAGCAGTTCTGATTATGTCATGTTGGGGTTTAAACAGAAATGATAGATTTCTGAATATTTCTGATGATTTTTGCAGAGAATTTCTGTCTAGACATACACAGGGACTCCAACGCAGCATCAGGTTTAACGTAATTAAGGGTATCCGGGTCTATGAGCTGGAGCCCTAGTCGTCGTAGCAAATAGTACTACTAACCAGTAGTACACATTGCTCTTCCAGCGCTTCCACCCTCGCGTCTTTGGCAGATTCGATTTTGCAATTACGGGGGGGTTGTAATTGCGTTCCGGGATGTGGATTATGCAGTTATGCGGAGTTTTAATGATATGAGGTCAACATTATCGATTACATATGATACGTACGTTTCAAGGTCATGGTCTGAAGCGCGTGAAGACGATTGTTTGATTTTCCCAACCAAGTCGATGTAGACTCGGCCCCAGGCTCTCCCAAGCCATGCTGAAATGCTGATGACGCTGCGAGGCAGCTTAAGCCCACATCCATTGCCATACGTGATCTCCAGTGCAATGGCTCTTACTGTGACTACACTCATAGCATCCGTCCTGCCGATTATTCCATAACTCAATATAATCATTACCAGCAAGTACGATGGAATTATGAAAGCAACCGTGACAACAGCAAGCATTATGAACGCGGCTCTGGTTTGCTCCACGCTGGCCCCCAAAAACCCTTGCCTGCGGGCTCTAAACCTAGAAGTCCATAGGCAGACTTGGAGCAACTGTTTGAGATGATCGATGTGAACGGAGAGGGTGAGATCGCAGCTGCAGAGTTTATAACGCCACTGACAAGGCTTTGTGGCAAGGTTAGGGTTCTTAGACTTAGAAGTCTTGGGCAGATTTCTGGAGCTTAAAAAGATGGTTTCCGAAAAGTGGTAGTCTCATTGTTGGTGGGCACTAACTTTCTTTACAAAGCTAGCCAGTGGCGTGGCAAGGGTGGAGGGTTTGGGAAGAAGGCTACTTTGAGTTGAGGGTTTTCTGAGTCGAAAGGGCGTGTGACTCCCGTGCGTGAGTCCTGCCCTGACGGATCACCAATGGGTTGCTGCCTAAATCCTTCTAGCTCCGAGGTTCTCGGTTTTAGTTTGGAAAGAATTGCCAGAGTGGCAGTAGTCTTTGACGGGATTCTTGTTTTGAAAAGGGATGACCGCCCTGTGCAGAGCTGGTAGGTGGGTCAGCGACTCTAAGACTGCGCCGCGCTTCATCAAGTACAATATGCTCCGGTCGCTGGGTCAGCAGGAGGAGCCGACACCGCGAGTTGAGCAGCTGCATTGATTTGACCGTGACTTCATGAAAGGAAACTTTGCGTCTGTCTTCAGTGCTGAATCTTAGACAAAGAACACCGCCCACTGTTGAACCGACAAAGTCACTTTTCGCTTTCGATGCCAAGATGTGAGTTTTTGTCAATAGAACTGGTCATCATAGATATCATCTCAGCAAGATATTTCACTACGAAGGTACTAACTCTACAAGCAACCGCCCCGGGGGTCGGTACCATTGTTATGGGAAAGCCCAAGACCCTCTTCTCACGGCCAGTTATGAAGCCTAGATATTGCAAGATTTCGGACATTGAGTGGGGACCTCATAAAGGAATTGTTTCATTCTCAGGAATCTTAGTTGTCGTCGGGACCTTGCTTCGTCAGATACGGAGGCTTCATGTTCTAGAAGTCTTCATGCCATGATATGAACGATGATTTTTCGCTACGTTTCCTACTGCTCAAAATTGTTTTTCCTTAGATTTCAAGCCAGTGTGTGGAGGTTCAGGGCCTAACTGTTACCGAGCTTTTCTAGCTTTGCTTTTAATCCCCTCAAGTGGTATCTCATGGGGTGCCCCACGAAGAAGTCCGGTTCCAGCCTCAGTAAGCATTTAAGCCTAAGCTCTACGTCCCAATCTCCAAGCACGATTTCGTTAGATTTGGGATTTAGGCTGCTATAGGTTTTGTGTGTACCTCTTTTGCAGACTGTGGAGGTCTGCATGTACATAGGGTCCCTAACGGCCTAAAGGCGTAATCTGACACCTCAACAATGGTTGTAGTTGGGAGGGGTGTTCGGTCGTGATGGCATCCGATTGTAGTGGGGGGTCTTTCTCAGTTTTGAGGGCCTGAGGGCGCTCACCTCCCTGCCAAGAAATCAGAGGGGGGAGGCCGGGGTGGTAAGTTGGAAAACGGCCAGCCCCTTGAGTCCTGATCTGTTTGTTCCAGACGCTTGTTGGCCAGGGCGCAGGGCGAGTAAAGGTGCCCGTAAGAATGTGCGCATCAGATAATCAGTGAACAGAGTTGTCGCCGTGGCTTGAACGGTTCCACACATTCAACGTGTTTTTTCCTTTCTCCCCCAGTTCTAGTTTATTAACATGGTGAGTGAGAGGAACTCTACAGCCTCTCCCGACGGTGTTTCGAAGTCCTGGAAAACCGCATGGAAGCCCTGACGTCCATGCTGGGCGGCGATGATTCTATTGGTGCCTGGGCTTAGGTTAAGTGAGCATGGCTCAGATCTTGTTGTCGTGCTACTGACTCTGCTGCTGCTGCTGCTCCTGCTGCTTCTGCTGCTGGTGGGGCTGGTGAGGGCGGTGGCGGTGGCTTGGTCGGTGTTGCTTGATACTTGATTAGATCAGGGGCATGTTTACAACATTTCGTGAAGGTCATTTTGCCAAAAAAAACACATTTTGTGTTCCGCTGCGTTTGATCTGTTCGCAGGGGCCCCGATTTTGCTTCCCAGCTCCGAAGCGCAACCGCTCATCCAGGCCAAGTCACCTGTCGCATGCAGAAGTCTGGGGGGGGAGGCTGTAAGGAGCTACCGTGAGAATTTTCTGAAAAGCTCCTGCAGCCAGATTACATGAGCATTCAACCTGAATTTTGCCACTTTTATTTCAATCTGTCTCCAGTTCTCGGGAAGGCCACGGCCGTGGGGACGACAGAGCTCGAGCAGATCGCAGCGTCGGATCTACACCCGCAGTCTGAGGTGCTTCTGCCTTAAATCCTGCGCAGCCAAACGACTTGTTTGCTATAGACTTGTAGATCCGGACTTCCACTTTGAGTTTCATCGTTCGAAGTCAGCAGTCGCGGGTCGCAAAAAAGTGGGGGTATTCACAATCAACTGCGAAGCTGAGTCTTCAGCCCTAATTCCAAACAATCACAAGCGTTGAGCCTTGAATCCTTATCTTGCATTTCTAAACCCGACCTGGAAGCTGTAAAGCAGAAGCCCCATTTCCTAAAGACATTCCTTGAAACCTGTTCCTGACTGCTAATCCATGTGTGCTGAGCTTTACGTAAAAAGAAGCCCAAACAGATGAGAATCCCAAAGCCTGAACCCTCAACCTGACAAATTTGAAACGAGCTGGTGCATCGGAGGTTGAGGATTGCGTAGAGCAGCCGCATTCATCGCAGCAAACTACCCTGCAACCATTGAAGGAGGCGAGGGTGGTTGGTTTCGAGTTGTGGGAGTTTACGAGTTTCAGGGTTGAAGTTGCTGTTTTGGAGACTTGGGTTGCGGGTTTCTGGAGCATATGACAAGATGGATATTCCTCCATCAGAACCCATTCTGCAAGAGTGCGAGATGCATAGCCATGAAATGAAACATGCGTTCGATGTATGACAGAAAAGCAACAATGGTCATAGCGGGTAGACCAGCAGAATCCTGATGCTGGTAACAAGGATGGTAGTATGGGCATCAGCATAGATGGAGGTTGAAGCTAAGGTCGCCGAGGATGCCATCAAGGCTGCCATGGAGAGTTTGGAAATCCAGGTCCTGAATGCCACCGAAGCAGCATTGAAGCGGTCGCGAGCCGCAATTGAGAGGACCATACAGGAGAACCTGGCTGCCTGGGCTTACCTCCCCAGAGAAGGTTCCAAAGCACCGGCCAGCCCGACTCGCGAATCCAGACCCTCCCTGCAGCTCATGCTGGGGGACAACCTCTTTGAGAGGCGACGAAGAACCAGCGTGCATCAGTCCCCCACTGCCCCCACCGACCCTGGATCGTGATCGAAGCAAAAATTGCACAGCTTTTAATTCATGTTTTCAAGATGGAATTGAGAAGATTTCCCTATGTTCAAGAATGAGCCCAGGATCGAGAAAGCCGCAGGCCACCGGCAGGCGACTTCAACCCTCCTGGAACTGGGGTTCAGGCATCGCCTGTAATCGAGAGGCCCAGGCGGAGGAGTCGCATGACGTCGGGTACCTTCAACACTCCTGGCGCTGGAGATCCCGCGAGGGCTCTGCCTCACTGGAGGCAAGGCTCTTTCCATTCGTGTCAGCCTTGATCTTGTTCTTCTGATGAGTATCAAGATACCATTGCGTAGATGGAGTGAACTGGGTGCAGGCAACCCAGCATGGATGGCATTGGAAGCAATGAGATTGGTTCCTGGTACAGGCCGGAGTTGCACAGGTGGCAGACAAAAGCAGTAAGCTACGAATCCCAGTGGCGACAGGGCTTTACTCAAATAATATTTATGTCATGGTAATGATGATGGTGTTGGTTTCTGCCAGAATGATATTTGCAATGGAGACCAACAACAAGGAGCCCCTCAACTGTGCTGGTGGCAGAGGTGGCTTTCAGGAGGGTCCCGGTGTTGACTATGAAGGTCCCGAAGGTCATCTCTTGTGTAACATGATCATTTGGAGCCGAAGCGCTTTCCACCAACTTCTCAACAGATTTCCTTCCCGCCCAAGATCTGAAAAAAGTATTCAGCATCCCCACATCACTTCTGAGTTGCTGAAATAACTTCGTTCAAGCTTCGCACCATTGAAGCCCCCCGGATGGAATATAGTTCATCATCAGCAGAGTAGGAGTAGCAGGCGGAAGAGGAGTGAGTAGAGGTTGTGGTGGTGGTGGTGGCGGCGGCGGCGGCGGTAGGAAGAACGGAGAAGACGAAAGTTGTAGAACGGCTGTCGGCTCGTTTAAAAACATCTTTGTCCGTATTTAGCCCGAGTGGGATAGCACAGCTATGGCGCAGGGCCACATTTTGGACTCACACCCGTGTCTCCTTGCGGCTTTCTGTACCCTTTGCTTTTACTGCCGTGGCCAGGGGCAGCCCGCCAGGAAGTCCAAAGGCGACGCCGAAGGGTACTCCTAGCTCTACAAGCAAGAGTCCCCAGGCCTGCGGCACCGCCTTTCACTGCAAAGGTTTTTTGTTTTTGAAGTCAAACAACGAGACCGAAAGCAACGAAGGCCTTGCGGGATGGACGGCTGCAAGGCTTGCGGGATGAGAAGCTGCAAGGCTGGACATCCCAGCCGGACGAGTGCCTTGGCCCCATTAAGATTAGCACTAAGTCGAGAGTTGTGAGGACGCAAAATCCAATTACCCATCGTTGCCCGAATCGCAGGTGGCAGATCATGGCTGCTGTTTTTTTTTTAGGGGCTGACGCTGCTGAAGCTCATCAGTTTCATCAGGTGAAAGGGCCTTGTCAGATTCGATGCTCATGACGTGCCGAGGTCCACTTCAAAACAGGACAAGCCATTCCGGCGATTGTCCAGCGCGGGAGCCCGCTTTTAACTAGGTCCTGGATTGCTGCGCAGGAATAACCGGTCGACAGACAGCAAGTTGGCTTTTTAAACTTCGTTGAACCATGCCCTTTGGGTGTCACTTTCCTTGCCTTTCCGTGAAACGGAAACCGCTTGGACAGGCCACACACCCTCCAAAAAACCTATGAAGCCCCATGCATTCTCCCCACATTAGGCATCTGCCTTTGACGACCAATTCTTTCAACTCGATCACAGCTCCGCTCGCCCTATTCTGCGAGACACCTTTTGCGCATTGGGATTCGTACCTTGAGGGTGTCTCACGTTAGAGGTTTCTTTCGGGCTTTCTAATAACAATTTGCTGTGCAATTCCCATGTGCTTGCTTGGGAGCTCGAAAAAGGGAGGGAGCATGTGCTATAGAGATGTAGCTGACTTGAAGGCTTTCCCAGCGCAGGTGGTGTTTATGAAATCCTGCAGGGCTAAGCCCTCGACCGTAAAAAAACACTCTGTTTTGCGAACTTGCGGGAATTTCCCAAAATGGGGCCCTTCTGGCGGTTGAGCTCGCCCCTAATCATGGAATCTCTGCACCCTGCTATCACCAAAAAGGCCTTACAATGACACATTAGGAACACTAGGAACTACTCATAACATGGGCCTATTTTGCCTGAGCCGATTGCACCTTCCGGGCTCCCGTTCTCTCTAGACAAGTGTGGCAAAAGCCGCGCCGCATCGCTCTTTGGCATCAAAATGCATACTTCCTGCATAGTACCCAGTGTAGGCCCACTCCCTGCATTTTGGGGCACCTGCTTCAAGAGTGTCCCATATTTGTGGGAGAGTTTCAGGGGAACGCTACATTACAAGTAAAGGACCTTTCAGCTTTACGCAAGCAACAATAGCATGATTAAGAGATACTCATAGTCTACTGTAGCTGAGCTGACGTGAGTACACCTGTTGAACCCCTCTATACCGGTGTATGTTTCTAGAGTGAAGGCACCAGGCCTCCAAACGACTCAAGCGATTGAACACGGTCAGGTGCCTGTAGAAAAGCGCTGAGCCCTCCACATCATCGGTCACCATGCATAGCTTGAGTGTGTTTTGGGGCTACCCTTGCCCAAATTATCTCACTGATCCAAAGGGTATGGAACAGAGATAACGGACGAGAATCTATGAGGATTGTTCAGGGCTTCTGTTTGCTATGTGCTTGCAGCACCTAGCAAGAGACCATCCTCTTGTTGCGTGCCGTTATTCAGGCAAGGCGTGTTGTGTTCGTGTTGTTGTTTGCAGCTTCCTTCGGGCCTGGCCTCTATCCAAGTGCAGTGTTACCAGCTTTAGGGTTCATGGCGCAGACACCGCATTTACTTTGAGCAGCTGGGATCCTTCAGGAGTTTAATTCTGGTTTTATCTACGTCATCGATTTTCGGGTATGACTGGCTCAGTGTATGCAGGAAACATGAGGACATTATTCATTGTTGGTTTCGTGATTTCTGCTTGTCTTGATCTCTGGCTTTGCCCGTAGCCGTCGCAACCGTCCATAACATAAAGATGAGCTTTGCAAGACATGTGCCAGCTTATGCATGTATGACGCACAAATTGATCAGCATGAGCCACAGCAACCTGCTGCATCTTACAACTAGCTTTGAACTGGACATGGACGAGCGAACCTGCAATCCCTCCACTCCTTCTGAAGCTGCAAGTGACACACCTACTGTGCCTGTTCCAGTTTACTGCAGTGCTCTACAACAACATGCGCATGGCAGCTACACAGAAGCCTTCATGGTCCTGGTGGGCGTTCAGCCCGGAGACCAATCTCAACATAACCCTAACCGTATTTGCCAAGGCACCTCTTGATTATTTGCAGAAATAGACCTCAAAAGTTGATCGCTCTCCCTGCGCCGGACAGAATCAGTGCGATGCTCAGATTCTCAACCTCGTGAGTTGCCTCACGCAGCCTCCCTCAGTTTTCTGCATGTCTCTGATCCACATTTTTGTGGGTTAAAGGGATGCTGGTGCAGGAATGGCTCTGTTCGAGACTGTTCACGAAAGATTACCAGATGCCGAGTTCTATACTGCAAAACATTGAACCGCCAACAGAATCAGAAATGCGAATCATACTTCCTCATGCAGGTACTATTCAAAACAAGCTAGGCAAGCCCAGAAAGTCTTCTTCAATTCTACCGGTGGTGTTGTTATCTCACATCGGCCGGGCCTTTTCCATCGAGCAGCGTCCACACTGGGGGACCCAGTTCAAAGACATTTACCAGAATAGATGTCACACACGAGCAATTCTTGCAACTGTGCTGTTTCTGCAGCGTCCGCGTGTGTTGCATGCTCTGTCCCACTCCAAGAAATACTAGATATGAGACATCGTCACATCCATGCAGTTCATTGCAATTTGACTGCTTACTCGCCATGGCTCAATCGCTTAGTATTGAAAATCCTCTCGGGTGGCCTGTTTGGTTCACAACGCATTCATCGGGAAATGGCATTATCGCATGATCCCATGTTCGGGTCTGTGAAAGACCAGCATCTACATGGGGGGAATCATAGAAACTAAAGCCTTGAATTTTGTGATTTTTCTCTGCAACCGCAGCGTCCGCAGCAGAAGGGGAAATATTCCGCTGATGTGAAGTCTTTCCAATGCCAGCGTTCGCAGTAGATGATGTGTATTCTCACTGAGTGACGGTAGTAGATCCGAAATCTTAAGTGCCATGCCTGTTAGGCATCCGAGAACATGCTGCTCAAACCTCAGATGTGAGCCAGAGCAAGCGCTTCAGGGGCGCAACGTTGAGAGCTTAGGGATTAGACTTCACGATTCAGGATAGCGGATAGCGTCATGTTGAATTCTTCCACGGCGCCTCCTTCAAATGCACTCCTGCGTCTCCTGAAGCCTGAAGCCGTAATCTCTCAACTCTAGTCCTTGCCACCCGGCATTGTTTGTCGCTTCCAAGGCCGACAACGAACCAGCAAGCAGCCAACATGAACATGGCCCCGGACCCGCGGAGCATGATCATTGAGAGGGATTGTCATTCACGCTCCTACCCAAACATTTCCCCGGCAAGGGCTGATTCCCGTTGTTGTCCAGCTTGAGCTGCTTAGTCATGGGTTTGGTCAGGTGAGTGCTTGAGCGCATGGCTGCAGGTTCGCATGAACTGTTGTCTTGCTGCTGTTGGGTGATTCGCGCAGAAAGTTTCGAACTGCGTCATGACTGTTCTGATGCTCCTGAGAACTGCTATTCCCCTCCTCCGAGGCAGTGAGTGTGTGCTGATTGTAGAGAGATGCTCAGCAACAGTTCAGGACGTCTTCTTCAAGACCGCGGACATGTGGTACAGGTGGAGACCTCTCCAAGACCTATAGCGAATGTGGCTTCCCTTGTTCTGTGTATGCAATTGCAGGGGTCGGGAATATTTACCGCGAAGTCTGTGGGCCGCATAGTTTCTGGTAGGTCATTCCGCAACTCCACCATCTATGGGCAGCTGCGAATTATTGCCGTGGTTGCCTGAGCAGTGCCGCTGGTAGCTGCAGTCTTGGTATGTTCCACAATTCAGGTGCTGATCTGCCTGACCCAGTAGCAGCATCTTAGGATCCCTGAGTCGAGGAGCCCAACCCTTAAATCCTTCAAGGCCCTCACGTGAGCCCCCCTGCCATTGAGGCAGTCCTCTTCGGCTTCGTCGTCCTTTTCTTCCTTTTGGGAGGTGGAGGAGGTGGAGGAGGAGCGCCACAAGCTCCCCTAAGCACGTCAAAGGGCAGATGACATTCTGAGGGGCATTTCGTTTACAGTCTCCCCGACAAAAACTTCCATCTTGCAATATTCATGGGCGGCATGCTGTGAAGCACAGTTGGCCATGTAAAATCACAAGGAGGGATTTTTCCCAGTTCAGGTTACAGTGAGGATTGCTTCCTGGATGAGATTTGGAGCTTGGAGTTTGGTGTTTAGGGCTTGAGATTTACAGTTTTCATGTTGGGATAGGGCTTTGTAAAAGAAAAGCGGCCGGGTGGATGTATGGCTCGGCAGTGGTGTGAACAGGAAATGTCAAACACCTAAAGGCTTCACCCCAACTGACCGCATTCTAAATCCATTTCAGCTTGGCAGCCGCCAAAGTGCGCTGACTTTGTCGCATACGTGCATAGCCCTAGCCAACAAAACATCCTTTGAGTTTAAGGTCAACGCTCCAAGCCCCAAAGCCACCCGCTGATCCTCGAGGCTCGGCTCCTCAAACGGGATCGCACTACATGCAACATCGTGGAGCGCCTCTTCAGCACGTGTGAAAGTATCCTGGCTACCGGGGTCTCACTAGGGCGTTTGGGAATGGTCCAGGAAATGTTCGGTGGCAAAGCTTAAAGTCTTAAAGGTATTGTTGAGCTCACCAGGGACACACTAGCTCACTAGCCAGTGTGAGTTGATTTCCCAACCCTGCTGTGTCCCTACCCGCCCGTGGTGGCTGCGGAGGTGGAGGACCGTGCGTCCGAGGGCCTGATGGAGGTCACCAACATGGGTCATCATGGAATGATAGGCTATACGGTTTACATCTTTGGGTATACTGACGGGGGTTTTCAAGCGTTTGGCAGATTAGGGCTGCAAACTGTCATTGTTGCTGTACGTCGCAGTTCCACTCACATTCTCGTCTTTCAACATAGTGGCTCCAAGCACAACTTCAGAGGCCACAGAAATCTTGCAGTCGCGGAACCCTCCGTCGGTCTCCACTCCGCTGCCTTCCATGCTGCGCTCCTGGCGAGTTTATCAAGAATGGTTCAGGGATTGCGGGGGGGGCTTCAACTCGTGCATCGACATTGCAAGATGAAGTATCCCATCTACTTGCATCCTGGTCATACCGTCCCACCTCAAGCCACCCGCGAGTCCGAAAGGCCCAACGTCCAAGTATGACGCCTGCGTAACCGCACATGGTCCAATCCGCCCTCAACATATTCCTGAACTCCAAACCCTTCGACCTCCAACCCAGAACCTTGATCCGTCCAACTTAGACATCAAACCAAGCTCTACACCTCTGTCTGTAAGCGTCAAACCCTGAATCCAAAGCTCTGAACCCTCAACTCTGCAGGTATATCGTAGCTTTGGTAGCGCTGGGTGGCTTGGCCTTCGCCGCTTGGCTGGCTGCCTGGGTTTTGGGCAAGGACAGCTGTCTGTTTTGAGGAATTGAGGTTCAGGGATGTAGGGGTTGTTGAATAGTCTTTTTCCACCCAGGAACTCATCATGCTGTTGCTGTTAACTGCTGATTGTTCACGTTGTGTGTCCTCTTTACAAAGGCAACTTCCTTTGTTTAAATTTGAAGCAAGCATTTCCTTTATCCCAGTTGGATGAGTGCCCCTGCTGGGCTTTGGCCCGTGAGCATGGCCAAGAGCTTTGCTCCATGATCCATAGGTTCCTGTGCTCATGCAAAGCTTTGACAAGAAAGTCCCATTAGCTACGTTACTTGCGGCTTTCAGGCCATGTGAAAGCTCCAAACTCAAACCTTGCCTCCGGTTGCCCCAAACTAAATTCCCAAATCCATCCGTAGGACGAAGGGGACGAGAAGATGAAACAAGTCTCGGACGTTAAGAGCTTAGACAGGGTGGGTTTCGAGTGGGTGTTCTGCTGGAGCTGTGCCAGGTGTAGTGGGTGTGTTTAGGGTTGAGTTAGAGGTTGTGATTTTATGGGGCGCAAAAGCGGGTGCTATATGAGAAGCTGGAAAAAAGGATATGCTAAGTGCATACGCCTGTTCCTTCCTGGCAGGAATAACGGAATATGCAGATTGATGAGAGCTGTTTGTTGAGATTAGGCAGCAGGCGGAATTTAGGTTGCAGAACAGGGAAGGATTCCGCATCGCCTCATGATGTCATGACGCTACTTATTGAGCACCCCCACCCCTCAAAGGCAACACCTAAACGCCCCAAGAGGCCATCCGAGAAGGAGCTTCAGGGTTCCTCTCCACGCAGCCTCGCCCTCAGAGCTCCAATCTGGGCAACGTCACCATCACCAACGCCGCCGCCACTGCCACCAAAGCCGCCTTGTTGCCGTTTTGTTGCTGTTGTATCAGTGTATTGGAGTTTGAAGCTTGTTTCGTTGGAAACCGCCAGAGGTATGCGAGCATTTTCAAGCTGGCAGTCGTGGTGTCAAACTCAGTTGTTTCTGCGCGAAAGTGGTCGCCGCAAATGTTATAATCAGAACGTTGATAAGTGCAGTAGTTCATGCAGCAATAGCAGACAGGCAGAACAGTCATAGTTTGTTCCCGGATACGAGGGACCGGAACTCGAAGAAGCGCAGATCCTTGGATATTCATCATGGGACATCTCATGGCTTCAAATCAGATGCTATTGCAAATATTGCAATGATCAGCTGGGCGATGACACTAACAACAGCGAACAACTAATTAGAATCCATGTCGCACTCAGATATCGACACAAAAACGGTGGCATCGCGAATGACCTTTGATCAGAGTATTATCGCTCAAGGTGCTTGTGGGCATCTTCCTCATGTACCTTGTCAGGGAGCCGCCCAAGAACTTGCCGCAGGACTGCCTGGCAGACGTCACAGTTAAGAGACAGATCAAGCTAGGATGAGCAAGATGTGGTAGCAATAGCTTTCTCACAAACGAATGAATGGTACCAGTTACAGTGACATGTGCATCGTAGCTGAAATTTCATGGTCATGTAAACGAACAGGAAGATGTGATAGGACTAATATCAGTTTGCACAAGCTTTGCGTAAGTTGAGTAGCTCCAACAGGAGAGGTCATGAAGCAGTAGTAAAATTGCAGCCGTATGCCCGAACGCCCCAAGCCACTTGGGAGGTCGCCTCCTCAAGGTTGGCTCTTTGCGTAGCGGTCTCCTTTGCGACGGGATGCGTTCTCTCAGGCGAGTCCGGCTCTGGCTCAGCGATCGTCAGATTCGACTTTCCATGTCCAGGCATTGCAGGCTATGTCGGGATGTGGGTCGCGGTACGTTCCAACGTCCGCGTGGCGTCTGCAGCTTGCCGCTCATTTCAAGAGGCCATGGCAGGGCACCCCTACATGAAACCAGACAGCAGTTCAAACTGAGCTGCAGGCAATAGCTGTCGGACTTCGTGCTGGCGCTTTTAGTGGAGTTCTTGTTGTTTCAATGGTGCGGCGCTTGGCACATGGGTTTCTTGAGCTTCTAAACTGCATGTTCCGACATGTCAAGCCCAGGTGTTGCTTGGCATCATCGCTCTCTTGTTTGGAGTGCGGCTGGTGGTGCCGCAGCCGGAGCCTAGCAGAGCCTAGAGTCCTAGACGGACCAACCAAATCACCTGTAGCACCCCCACTACCTGATGCTAGCATAGGATTCTAGATGGATTTGTACATTGTAGAGACGCCAGGTACCTGCAGCGTTGCACCAGCTGCCATTCCTTCTGGTTGGTTATGGCTTCGGGGCTTCCTTTGTTGCTTGGACGCAGAGGATGCGAGTGGAACCAAGAACTCCGCCTACTGTTACTGTGGCTACTTATGCTTCCATGCTTCCTACCCTCACAATTCTTGATGTCAGATCGCGACAAAGGAGGTTTCTGTGATGTGATCGTCCTTGTGGATCTTGAGAACCACCGCGTGAAAAGGAGATGCTGTCAGACAACAGTATCAAAGCCATGTCAAACTGTCTGCATGCTTTATCAGTGAATGTCGCCTGGTTCATTCTAAGGTTGCTTTGTTCGCCCAGTCGGGTCCTGAGACCTCAGTATCCTCAGTCCCGCAGCATCCTGCAGCTTGGAGAGGTGAACTTGCATCTGAGGTTGGGCGGTGGGATCTACACCAAGGCGTCCAGAAACCAGTGCTGAAGAGCGAAAAAAGCGCATCCCTCTAAGCGATCTTCTTCGTGACAGGCTGCTGACGTGGGCGCTGACATGGTCGGCAAGGTGGAGGCTGATATTCCTGAGGAGCCGCTGGATTCAAGGAAACCTTTTAGAAAACCAACAGGGTTTTGTGGGTTGTCGAACGCTAGCAGAGTGGTTGATTGCCCTACAGGATGGTAATAGCAGTGGTCTTGCAAGGATGACCCACGAAATCCGGCCGTCATTGCGGACCTGGTCGGTGACAACGTGGGTGACTGTGCCGGAAGTCCATCTGGCATTGGCTTAAGCCTGTCGTTTCTGCAAAGCACTCAGGAAGATGATCAACACAGATCTGTTTAGGATCCAAACACTGGATGCCCCGTACCACGATCCTCCCATTGGCAACGCGCTTGCTTTTTAAGTCTCAATTGGGAAACCAAGAGGCATGTCCCAGCCAAAGCTTTGTTGCCAGGGGGCGCGGATCTGTTTGAATCAATAGCTGGCGAGATTCTGGCCGCCATGATTTTAGGCAGGCACCTTGGGCACCTACTTGATGAGCAGTTAGGTTCAAGCAGAGCTGTTGACACAAAGCAACTCGCTTCTACCATCACATGTCTGTGAGTCACTCTTGAAGAGGATTTGGCCTGAACATGGGCTCCGGGCAAAACCTGCGCAAAAGAATCGCTAGTGGTTTGTTGCCACCTGGTAATAATACGGACGGCCTCTCCGCAAACACCCCAAACCAACTGCCCCAGATTCTCCAAACAGGTGGCAGCCTGTCACAGCAACTGCCAGCGGATGCCAGAAGCTGCGGCCCAAGGGCTGCTTTGAAATTGATGCAGAATGATGCAATAGATCCCAGAAATCCCACAACCAATATTATATTGCAGAAGGAGGATGGGATTCATGAGGTTTCATCGCTGGATTTTTTTCTGTCATGCCCCGCCGGGTGCTGCATAGCAACAGCGGCGCCTGAGGTGGCTATGTTTTATTCCCTCTTGCAATACACGCGATGGTTGGGGCCTAAGTCTTGGCGACAATGAGCGGTGAGGGTGCTGAATGCCATCAAGGCTATTCTAGTAGCAATCGGAGTGTGATGTTATAGCCACATGAACAGCCGGTGCACTCTGTAGCAGACGCGCTTTGCAAGCCAGCATTTCCACTGGCAATTCACGTGCAGTGAATGCAGCTGCGGAGTCGCGTGGGCAGAGCCCAGGACATCGTTGTTAGTGGCATTGGCATCATGATGACTGAGGCCCGTAACATCCCACTGGTTGAAGTGTGATATTCGTCAAGGGTGAGCATGCAAAACTCCTCCGCGTGAATTGCCGAGATTCACGAGGACTCCAATGCCCGGAGTTTGGTCAGGGCAACCCCTGCAGAGCTGCTCGTACGTTCGTCTTGTTCTCGTCCAATCCGTGCCGACCAATCCAAGAGGCTGAAAAAGGGCCATTGTGGCAACGCATGCTCCAAATTCCTGACATTGTGGCCTGGAGCCTTCTGCTGTGTGCAATGACACTATTTGCACAACAGCAAACCTATCAATCATTGTGCTTCTAGGACACAAGCCTTTCAGTAAACTGCAAAGTTCACTGCAAAGCAGTACAGAATGTCCCAAAATAGTTATGCTTCGAAAACAGCCGGCGCACCCGACAAAACTCGCCACGCAGGGTTGGTGACCACATTCCGGCTTTGGAGTTCTTTCAGAGTCCACTTTTGGTTGACCCCACTCTTGAAATTGTTGCCAAAGGCTCCTTGTTGGTCGCTGTTGGTGTGCATGCGCGCAGAGACATCTCCTTCGACCAGTCTCTTTTTTCTCGGGCAGTCTCTGCGTGGAGCGCCGACGACCCTCCAGAGCCCTGCTACAAATTCATGATCTTGTCTGCAGCACTCTTACAGCTGTGGGAATCCGAAGTGTAGGATTTCTTAGAGGCTTTTGGGATGCTGGCAGGCTCCACAGACAAGGGGCATCAAAGCCATCGATCCAATGGAAGTCTTGAAGAGTGGCTACAAGGCTGGGCGGCTTAGCACATGCGAGACATGTGAATCTTGGAACTTTGAAGTATCGGCAACTTGGCAGGTCTCAGTTGGCCTCGCAGCCGTAGGCATCATAGTGCTGTGCAGGCGCTGGATGTCAAGGGTGCAGTGAAGTACAGCTTCAAAATGGTAGTGGAGAAAGCTCAGAGGTGTAGTTTGCAAGTATGGTTGGTGCCCGGTTCTGGGACATCTTTGTTTGTTGAATGTTTTGGGCAGTGCACTGCCAGCAGAAAACAGCACACTCAGGGTGCAGCTGAGCCACGCTGAAATTGATTGTCTTCAGCAATGCAGTAAGACTAACAGCGTATCTAGCTAGTCCTCCAATGGCACCAAACGACCCTTTAGACGAAACGGCGCGTTGAAGGGTCGACTTTGTTGACGCGCCAAGCCCGCCCGGACCCTTCACCTTCAAATGGGCCAGCCAACTGGATTGTACGATCGGGTGCTCCTTCTCAGCACAGGCTCAGGTGAGCTGCAAGGGCTTCTCGCCCCAGCAGTACGCGCGTGGATTGTGCGATGCACGGGCGCATTCGATGCACCTTACGAAACACACCCCTAGGCCCTAGACCCTAGATTTTGAGATTTCCGCGTGTAAAGCGGAGGGGAAACTTGCTGCCCACCGCTGCTGCTTCCGCTGTCTGAAACCCCCAAAAAGTGAAGCTTCAAATTCAAGTTCAAGTTGTCCTGGGATTTGTTGCTTGCATTCTGGAAACCTGGCAATCAGATTGCGCCCAAGAGGCTAGTCTCTCACCTATTTGACAGAAGAGCTAGTAGGCTGCTGACGAGATGCTGAATCATATGCATTTCCCTATTCCTATTGGAAGATGTCACTTCCACGTTCCTGCGCAGACACGATCGTTGCTCTAACGGCGTTTATCGAGCAAAAGCTTCACAGCTTGTCGTCCTGAATATCTTTTGCAGGCATCGCTGCCACATCCCAGTTGTCATAGTAGTTGGAGGAGGAGCAGGAGGAGGTGTTACTGCTGCCGCTGGTGCTAGGAACGGTTCTCGTAGTAGTTCTGCTACCAGCGGTAGCCGTAGCGACAGCGGTAGCGGTGGAGGCCGCAGCATCCAGATCAACAGCAGCAGCAGCAGGAGGAAGAGTCGGAGCAATAAGAAGAAGAGGCAGTGGTAGTTTTTGTATATGTCATTGGAGTTCTGATGACGAAGAACTATTCATGAAGAGGACAACCTAACCACACCACCTGCTCGAGCTGTCTGGGAGGCTCCTGTTGCACACAGAGGAGCATCCGGCAGCATGGATGCATTTCTCTGCCTGGGTCTGAGGGCAGTTTGCATGGATCCTTCTATCTCAGGTTCGCAAGTTGGGATGGGAGTTGTAAATCAAGATTTTTCCCCGCACGCAACCCCTTCTTGTCACCCGCTATGATCTTCATTGATTCCACCCCTGCAGAGTGGAGGTGTGTGGGCTGGTTGGACTAGGCCTGGCTGGCATTGTCCGAAAGCTGCTTATAAAGCTGATAGCTTTCATCGCCATAGTTGCTGCCTGCAGCTAGTAAATCTACTATACTACAGCCTGCATGCGGTATGTAGCAGCGGCAGTCAATGAGTCATGAGAAATGCTTTTATGCGTTTGCATTTTTCTGACCATTGTGTTTGTATGTTTGTGCATAAGTTGACGATTACAGTTTCGGTTGTTTTCTAATTCTGATTCCCATGGTGATGCTGGTAGTTCTTGCAGCGATTCTTGTTAATGGCAAAACCAACAGCTTTTTTTTTGTTGACGGTCGTGCACGCTTGTTCTACGGCCGGCTCGGAAAGTTGTTTGCGCTTGGAATCATGGCTACAGAATAGAGGTTATCTCAATGATGAATGGGTTTGCGGCACCGATGCCGTATACGTCCTCAGTCTAACAGGCATTGAGCTCATGCAAATTCTGTAGATTCCTCATGCTTGGCGAGGACTGCTGCTATGGTTACAGTTGCTGCTGCTACTGCGACTGCTGCTACTCCTATACACTTTACAGTATTCATTCGTTTCCAACTACGACTACTGCAACTCCTCCTACTTTACTTCTGCCCTTTGCCCTGCTCCTCCTCCTACTCCTGCTACTTCTACTTGTACTCCGACCGGTGCTGCCGCCACGCCGCCACCGCCACTGCTGCTGCTGCCGCCACTGCTATAACTTCTTGTATTACTACTACTGCCACTATGCTACTCATTACTCGTACTGCCAGTACTACTTCCTACTTCTGCTGCAGATGTTCCTGCTGTCCCGGCTAGTGCCCCAGTGCCCCTCGCTGTTTATGACTCTTGTTATGCTTGGCCGAAGCCAGGGACTGCCTTCCTCTTCATTCTGGTCACACAGTGCACCGTCAAGCAGCTCTCTTTAGGAGAGAGGTTTTGGATGGTTTTGGGTTTGAGACGCAGGGTGCTTTCAAGGGGCAAGGGCCTGGCAGCACTGGCATCACGAGTATTTTAATGCTTCTGCTCGTTTGTAAGCGCAAGAAGGTCTATTCCAACGCCGATTATGGTTCCTGGTACTTGTGACTTGTTATTGTCACACCGTCTGTTGCGATGTCTGGCTTTATGATTGTTGAACAGGTCCTGGAGGTAAAATCATCAACTTGTTTTACAGGCTTTTAATCTCAAGCCCAAAGCTCGAAGCCCGTCATTCAAAGCCCTTACACTCGAACGTGTCGCATAGCCGGCCTCCAGCAGGTACTACACAGACTTCAATTTCCCGCCCGTGCGACAGATAGCGCAGGCGGCTGGTTCCCTTCCGGTTCCTGCGGTTCAGCGAAGGTCAAAGCAAGCTTCAAAGAGTAGGCAGAAGCTCTTGCGAAGCTCTTGCTACCTGATGTGGGAAGGCGAGCCTCACAGGGCACGGAACAAATGTGATTGCTGGCATGTCTGTCTGGGCCTTGCTGTTTGGGTTTCTGTGATTCTGTGAGCAGTGGGTTTATGATTTCATTCCCAACGCTGCACATCCTGCTGCTCTTGCACCTGCTAGCGATGTGTCAGATTGTGCCGTGCTTTTGCTGTCACGGTCTCGAGGGGTTCTTCGATTCTTCAAGGTTGGGATGCAAGCCACGGCCGCCCCGGCCGCAATCATCTCCGTGGCCTTGCTGTGCTCCTACAAGGCGGGGGAAATATATTCTGACCACGTATACCACCACCACCCCCCTGAACCACTGCCACCCGTGCCACCGTGTCACCAGCACCATCGTCAGCATCCACACCAGCACCAGCCTTGTCACCAGCACGAAGCTAGAATTACAGAACAGGATGTTTATTCTTGTTACGGTTTCTGATCATTGATGCTGCGGTACAGTGGAAGAGTGAACTGTAAAACCCTCCGAAGGCTAGAGGCTGCTAGTGCCCGTATTGAATGGAATGCTTAAAAAGGCACGTTCATGAGACACTGCCGAAGCTTTGCGGATTAATGAGCCAAGCGCTTCAAACCTCGATCCCAAGATCCAAGCATTCCAATCACCAGACTGGGATGGCGGCCCTGGGTGGAACAGCAAGTGCTGGGCTTTTTGGCACGGCAGTGGCCACGATGGGCAGCGACCTCGGAGCTTTTGTGGATCAATGTTTTTCCCAAATGCTCCGCAGAAGGGTTCCCGTTTCCAAAGGTTGGGGTCCAGGGGTCCAAGAGGTGGCCAAACGTCGTTGCGTTTGTGTCCGCGATCTTCCGAAAAGGGTTCGCATTCGCGAGTGTTGCGGGAATGTCGCAGGAGCTTCGCAGGAGTGTGACCCCCAAGGGTCGCGATCCCTGTAACTGTCGTCACTTTTGGACATTCGCATGTCAAAAATGGCAACCGTCAAATGATGGGACGTGTTGGGGTCGCGATCCTCCTGTCGTCGTCGCTTTTGGAGCCTTGTCTTCTGGTTGCGTGTCAAAAGTGTCAGCAGTCACCGGTATGGGACGTGTCGGGGTTGCCATCCTCGCAACTGTCGTTGCGCTTTTGGGCCTTCGAGTCTGGAGCGGATAGTCGATAGTGAAGTGGAAGGTAGAGTGGAGAGTGGAAACTAGCTTGGAAGGCTGCATGGAGAGTGGAGTGGAAGGTGGAGCGGAGAGCGGAGTGTGCAGTGGAAAGTGACATGGAGCATCGAGATGGGAGTGGAGAGTGGAGTGGAAAATGGAAAATGGAAAATGCAAAATGGAGAGTGGAGTGTGTGGAGAGTGAAGCATGGAGAATGGAGTTGAGGTTGGACTGCAGTGCGGAGAATGGAGATTGGAGCGTGGAGTGTGCAGACGACAGTGGAGCGGGGAGTGGAGAGTGGAGTGTCTTCGTCGTGTGTCCTGCGTATCGTGTTGCATATGCCGTGTTTACTCTGGTTGACTTACGTTTTGCGTCTTTGCATTCGGGTTCGTGGACTCCTAACAGTTTCTGGTTTTGGTTCATTACGGTCAGGGTGCTTGGAGTTTAGGGATTCGGGTTTTGGCGTTCTGGGATGTAGGGTTGGGCTTAAATTTTCAGCGTTTTGAGCTTGAAGAGCTGGGCCGTCAGCATTACCAAGGCTTTGAGTTGGTAGCATTCTATTGCCATCAGACTGTGGAGCGTGAACCCTTCTTCCTACTCCACTGGGGATGCGGTCCCTGATTAGATATTGCTCATGCTTCAGCTCTTGCGTTGCTATGGCCGGAGACCGCCTCTTGGCTGGATGATCTCAGCTTGCAGAACCGACTTTAGTCGTCAGGGATTGGGTTCATGATGATCCTGTCTGCAGTCCGCCAGGCATGCTGTCCACCGCCTGCTTCTTAGTCTCACGGTGTAGACGTCTCCAGGAGAAATCCATTTCTAGAGAGTGTGCTACTACTGTGATGATAGGGATTGTACAAGGGGCCCGAAAAAGAGCCGCCCCAAATCTCACCTCTGCAAGAGGTCGTCTTTGTGCTGGCCATGGACGTCTTCGGGCCGATCACAGACAACGCCATGGCCGAAGATCATGAAACAAGGGGGAGGAGGACAAAGGGCTGTTTGAAGGAGATTCCACAAGAGAAAATGTCACAGCCAGAAGTATATAATTGGAAGCGTCAGTACTTGATTCGCACGAATAACAATCACTGGAATGCACATAGTTTATAGCCATGCTTGTTGAGGCTGGGGGCATTGTGGAGATGAGCGAACAGCCTGAGTCGGCCTGAAGCTCTGAGGGTTTGGGAGACCTGGTACATACGGATTTAAATTTCTGGAACGTCAGACGGTCGATGTGAAGAGAGGTTCCGGGCAGGGGATGAACCCTTATCTCGTCCATTTTGAAGCCAAACTACCTCCCTCTCTCTCTCTCTTTGACAAACTTATCGGCGGCAGATGGGGCGCACCACAACTTTGAGGCACGCCAGAAAACCTTCCAACCCATCGACACTTCACTGTAACCCAGCCGAGCCAAGATCAGTGTGACTGAGTCAGTATGCTAATTCACTCCCTATCCGCTGTAGGGGTCTTCAGCTGCACTCAAATCCCGGACCCTGAGCCTTGAACTTGAAATAGGTGCGGAACATCACTGACAGCTTGGACGCAGTGGGAAACACGACCAAAGCCATCACCAAGGCAGGCCGAGCTCTTTGCTTTCATGTCACACGTTGTTCCATAGGCGTGAAAGGGCCCTCGTACGGTCGCCTACTGCAGCGGATCTTCGAACCCCCGCAATGCACCTGAAACCCATCACACGCCTTCGGCGGGTGCAGTTTCAGCATTGCGGCTTTGCCGCAGGGCTTCTCCGTGGGCTCCGCCAGCCTAGCGTAACAGCCTCAGGTTGTTGAAGGGAGGATGAATGGGTTCGTTAAAGATGGAGACATCAAGGATGTTGCAAGACCATGCGTGTGGCATAATTACGGGCATGAGTTGGATGTAGGTGGGCATTGTCTCGGGGCATCTAGCTTTGGACAAACTCAGCGCGTTGCAAAGGCCATCCAGAGAGAAGAAAAGTGTGGGAGACACGGAGACACTTGAATTGTTCGGAAGTTCTCGTGACCTATGAGACTGCAGAGCGGATTGCCGCATGATTGAAATTTAGGCTAGGGGTTCAGGGTCTAAGCAGCTTTTTGTGGCTCAAGAGCAGTACGACAAGATGATGTGGGGATAGTGTAGAATCTGTATAGCTGTCGTCGCTCTAAATTGTGCGTGGCAGCTTTTGCGTACTGTAGTGATCGGAACCCTAGCGGGGTACTAGTTCTAAGGCTGAGCTATTGGAACACAGATCGTCGCGCGCTCCACTGTGCAAACTTTACAGGATCTCCATCAACGAGGTGCAGATCATCTCATGCCAGTTTACAAGTACCGGTAAATAGGATGATGCTTCTTTCATGACCTGTTTTTTCCCTTCTTGATGTCCTTCCGATTACGATAGGACCTATAGGAGTCATGGACATCAACAGCGTTCGAGCCTATTCCCTTAAGATCCTGGAAGATCAACGAGGGCAAGGCCTGCACTGGGGAAACTTCCTAGGTTAACGGCTTTAATCAAAACCGATGCCTACCCACTTCCCTTCCCGGTAAACATGTCGAAATTCAAGCCACAGAAGAAAAGCTTTATGAGGTGTTTCTTGCTCTTCTCCGCCTTCTTGGACGAGGTCCCAAAAAGTTGGGGGGAGTGTCCAAACAGTGTAGTCAAATGGTGCATAATAAACAAAGTGGACAGTCAATGAAGGTATGCAGAATTATGCAGAAATTTATCCATGATAATAGTTCATGCTGCGTCAAGCATGTATGTAGCATTATGAAGCTGTGCAGAGAAGGGAACCTCTCCTCTCAGAAACTTGCTCGATCTTGCTTTCCTTGCACAATCACACTCCTGCTAGGTTTCCGAGCTTGCTGGCCAGAGAATAGTGGCTCGGAAGGCAAAGTCTTAACAGGGCAAGCGACCCAAGAGGTGCGCAAAATGCCCGCCATGGGTATGCAAGGGCCTGACAGCTTGGATCTGACGTACTCCTTGCTATGCAGCAACATCGCGAGGCCTACGCACCGAACTTGAAGCAAGATTCCAACACCGTAATAGAGCCGTCAACATGCCGTTGACTTAGGACGCTGTGGACATCTCCGTGCCTGAGGCCTTTTCGGCTTGGGCATCAGAGCAAAGCCAAAGCTCTGGCTGCAAGTGACTGTCAAATCTCATAGACACTTCAGCTGCTGAACTCTGAAAGTGCGAGCCTCAACATCTTCTGTAACGTCAGCCGAGGTCTTCCTGTGCCTAGTATCCCCTGGAAGTTACTGTAAGTCATTCTTTCGCCATCCACGCAACCTCACGGCATGCAGTGCAATCCCCACACATCTAGCCCTATGCACCCAGACAGCCTAAATCCAAAGCCTTGCAAATTCCTTTGTAGGTCTTCCTGGGCGGCATTGCCGGAGCCACCCTGGTCTTCTACTTCAGCGGCCAGTGCATGACTGCTGCCAGCTTCTCACTTCTGCCGAGGGTGTCCAAAGGAGTTCTTGTCCGCAGGCAGCATGCCTCCTCACTGTGCCTGCTTCGCTTGCTTCGCTTGCTTCGCTTGGGTATTCAACATCATTGTCACGTTCTCACTACCCTCACTGCCAACTTTGCGGACATGGCCATCCTCCTCCTCCTCCTCATCATCGTCATCAAAACACAATCGTACGAAGACGATCTACAATGGTGGCAGTACATGAAAGGGTCATCATCAGATGTTTGGTCACAGCACAGTCAGGGGTGTGTACTAACAGTCATGCTAGTAGTTGATCACCATTCTTCGGGCAATGACACCACTAGTGGTACCAGAACTGCACCGCGCCTAATCTGCCTTTACACGAAAGCCCAGACCTGTACCGTGAATCCAACCCTTTTCCGCTTGAGCTTCTTCTTGTTCTTAGGTGGGCTCCGCTGCCCAGGAGGTGGTAAACAATGTGCCTGCGACCCTGAAGGGGTCAGGGTCGTAGGACTGCAGGGTATGCTGCTGGGGCTCATTTTTGGGAGCTGTTGGAATTCAAGCTAACTGGAGGATGCCTCGGGCCAAGTTGGGGTTCGGTTGGAAACATGACGTGCCCTGTTTGTTGCTCGTATGTACACTAAGTGGAACTTCCACTTTGGTTTCTCTTCTTTTGTTCTTCACCTAGAGATTTGCTCTCTTTGTTTGTAAGAACATCATAGCTTTGTTGGAAAATGTATCATTCGGGCACCTGGAAGCCGGTGAAACTTTCTGTCTCCTAGGACTTTTGTGAGATTTCTGTAGGCTCTTAGGGTATCATCGGTATTTTCTCAAGCCATTTGTACATGGTTCCAAGCCCTAAGGCTAGGACCATATGAGCCCTTCTGAGGCGAACGCAATTCCGGGAAAGGCCAGGCATTATGGACGGCTCGCAGAAGCCGGACTATGCTTCGCAAGGGGCTCAGCTTTTGTGGTTGGGGTGGAGAGGGTTTTAATAATGGTGGACAGGAGGGAGCTGGCCGATCAGAAATGTATGATGGAGAGCATTACTTTGCGTGCTGCGCTGTGGGGGTCTGATGGATTATAGGATGTTTTGTGAAGGATGTCGCCTGTTAGCAGCGTTGCGCTTTAGGGGCTTTGTGGCTAACTCGTGGGGAGGTTGCGGTATGCAGGGGCTTGACAGGTTCAAAACTCAGCGGGACTCAAGAAAGACATCAGGTGCTAGAATCACACATACGAAGCCTGCCATTTGGAAAAAAGGCCACCTTTAGAAGTGTGCTCCAGGTGTGTCACCATCGTCACGAAGGCCGCACTGCGAGAAATGGTGGCGCCAGGCCTTGCCTTAAGTACTGTACATGTATTCGAGTGCGTTGGGGGAGTCAGTCTTTCAGGACTCCGCGGTGCAGTGCAGCAAGACCATCATTGTCATACGATGCATTCTGTAGCAGAGCTGCTTGTAAATGGAGCAGCTATGTGTTGATTCCGCAAAAGGTTCCGATTCCGCGTGTACCATCATTGCCAGCCTTCCTAGGTCCCACAGGCCTTTCGGGTCCCATTAGTTGGTGGCCAGGCATCGTTGCGACAACCGTGCCTTTGTGCGTGGGGGCCTCGGAATGTCGGCGCGAGGGAGGGCGTGATGTTCAAGCTCGTGATGGAGTGAAGGGCAATCGAATATGACTCTTCATGTACTTGCAGTCTGACTATTTTGGCAGAACGGAAGTCTGCTGTTTTATTGTGTGTGAGCCCCTGGTCTGATAAACGACAAATAGGTTGTTCAAACCAAGACCCCAACGAGCAATTGCCCTGCAAGATGCAGCATCACATGCTTTACATGTCAGAGAGGCTCGAAGGCATGGCCCGGACGAGCAAGCTCCGCACTTTCATTTGCGTGCATTTGAGGTTGGCTTCTTCTTTAGACTGGCCTCAAGTGGCCACTCGGCAAGCGTTTGCGCTGTAGCAAGCCGCAATATCTGTGTTAGTCTGAATTCTAGTGCCCTCACCGAAAAGATGCTCGGATGCTCAGGGGAATGTTGACGAAGATTTGGCATTGAATGGGCAGCCGTCCAGTTCAGTCATCCAGATTGAATTCTGCTTTTCTTCCATTCATAGTAGTGGCCCTTTTCAATTTTCAAAACGCAAAGCTGCCAAACTGTCTCCCTGCTTGCACTGTCATTAACTGAGTTTTCATGATCGCTACAGCGTATTACCACTTGTACTGCTCCTGCTGGTAGTACTGTTGCCGCTTCTGCTGCTGCTATTTCTGCTGTGCAATTAACAACGTTATGCTTAAAGCGGTCGTACTATGCCAGGCAACGACCGGCTGATCGGTGCAAAAGCCATTGCTAGCTTCCTGATGTTCGCTACCTCCACGGGGGTCCTCTTTGCCATCTTCCTCAATACGGCAGGCATCTGGGAGCTGTTCATGCGAATCGCATGCATTTTGCCAGGCACCTGTAGAAGTATTGGCAGCGCTGGCCTTGATAGCAGAATCAGCTGCTGTAGTGCAATGGGGAAATGCCAGCATACTGTGATCGAATTGGCCTCAGGCTATTTTTTCGTGAGGATGGTCAGAAGTGCTCCAGCCCAGCAGTTGTCCTGGACCTGTTGCTCCTTGCTCCAGGTTCCAGACTCTGCAATTTGTTGGAATGGCAGCTCGCATACACCCAGGCAGTAGGACAGTTCTGATTGGCGTAGTCGAGATCTAAGCAGAGACGTTGAAAAAAGCTGCTGCAGCATGCGCGAGCATTTGCTGCCGGTGTAGGTGGTGCTTGGGACAACGCCAAGAAGTGCTGCCATGTCCTGCAGTCTTGCAATGGCACAAACATGCACTTGACTATGGCGCTGGAATTGCACAACGTAAATAAAGCTACTGGGATGTTTGTTCCAGTCATACTCAGGTATCTAAGAAGAAGATGCACGATTCAGGTATTGTGGATCTTCCTGTCATCCCCAAAACATTTTGGGATGCCGGCTACACCACCTGTTGCTTATGAAAGACCCATACATTCAGGTACATCGAACAAGGCGTCCACGGCGGAAAGGGCAGCGCAGCCCATAAGGCTGCCGTAACAGGTCCTGTGCCCAGGACTTGCTCAGACGGATTTGGGTGCCGTCAGGCTTCCTGCACAACGTCCCAGTACCCTCCCAAGCCGGTTTAGCGTTTTGGTGAGCTGAGAACCAGGAATCAGGGAATGAGCTGGACGCATTAGGATTGCTGTGAAGCTGCTGCATCATAATTTCCGAGCCCTCCACCCTTTAAGAAAGTCAATGCCACAAACTGTGGTGTCTTGACCCTGCTGAGGCGACACTGTGGGAGATCCAAGCAAGGCCGGGGTCTGGAAGTTATGAGGAAGATGGTGTGTCTTGGGGCTTTGACTTGGGGTTGATTGCTCAGGGGTTTGGGTTGATGGCTTGGAACCTGAAGCTTGTGTTTGCTACTGATCAGAGATGGTAGGTGATTCTGGAGGAGTAACTGGGTTTCTCTGCCTTGGGATCTCTGAACAACAGTATTCGACCATGAGGCTTCACGCACCAAAACGTCACTGCTACACCTTGGCGGTCCTTATCATAGGTTCAAAATGGTTGTTCTTCCCTCGCTGTGGTCTTCCCGATTGGCATTGTAGTCATTTTGATTACTGCTGCAGCTTGAACCTGAAGCTGCGTATTTGTGTTTGTAAGGCCCCCTCAAAGCCTGTCAAGTCCTTGAGTGCTATCAAAAAGTCGACTGGCAATCAAAAAGCCCGAGAAGCTCCAGAGATTCAGATTTTCTTATGCAGCCAGGATACCGCTGGACCCTCGCTTCATGTGCTGATCAAGTTCCTCAGCTGCACTTCGAACCAAGGAAAAACAACAACCTTCAGGGTTCAAACCTGCTCCAGGAACAGCATCTGTATGATGATGAAATATACATAAGATATGAAAATGAGCACATACATTTTTCTATAGAGAGCAAAAGGACGGAGGCTGGGTAGAACATGAGTATGCAAGCTGAACGGAAGGTGGGACTCGTAACAGGTGTTAAGACCGAGCGTTACCTCAAATCATGGGCATGAAAACCTTCCGCTCTTTTAGCTTCACCACTCCTAAAACTGATTGCCTTATCACCACTCCAATTGCCAACCTTTGGACATATCAGCAGATGAATATCATCTGAAACCCATTTGCAAAGATCATGCCCGCGGCACAGGCTTCTGTCCACGATCACCTTGGTTTGCTCGCCGCTCTTCGTAGCTTGAGGCCTTCACCTCAGGAGCCTCGTGGCTGTAGGTCGATTTAGGATTTAGGGCCTGGGGCATGTGCTCAAAGTTGAATTCGTAGACCAGACTAATTACTCCAACTGACGCCAAAGAAACCAGCACAATCAAAAAGGATCGGGGGCACTGATTTCAGAATGTCTCTACTATTCTGGAAATTCTATACGCATCCCTGCACACCCCAATACGAACACAAGAACCTCAAGTGTATCGTGCTGTAACTTCATTTGGGCGCATACCAAAGTAGGGTGTAGGATTTAGGCCGCTCGGGCGCTGCGGCGCCCTGGAGAGTGCGAGCAACAAGGAAAAGCAAGCGCTGCCAGGGAGAGCAAGCAGTATGGGGCGACTTTAATGAGGATGCAGCAGATTGTACACGGTTCGCGCATTGCTTCTGGGACGATGCAGAATTGCTGAGGGCGGGTGGTTCCTTGCTGCAGCAGGACTAGGAATCAAGAGGCTTTCTTTATCTTTAGCCTTCCCGCATATCATCAGAGGACTTAGTTTTTTTTCCGCTTGCTTCAGCCTCTGCATGAGCGCAGGACTTGCAGGATTCGCAAAGCATGCCAACATCATCTACTTTCCAGGAAGCAGGAAGCCTGTATCGTGGGCGCATGTCTTTCAGACATCCGTCCCGTTGCTGCACTCCACTCCAAGTTGCTAGAACGATGTGTGGTTGATGGCTACTCGACTTGTTGCCGTCCATGCAGAACGTGCTTCAGTGTGGCAGGAATTGGTCATTGCATGCTTATATGGTCAAGTGGCTGCCAAGCGGCGGAGCTGTTGGGGTTGACTCGTTTGGGAAGGAGGGATGTGTCAGTGCTACTGCTTGTCAAACATGACTACGACATTGCTGATCACCCGGCTTGGCATCTTGAAGCCAAGACTCGGACAGACATGAACTGCAGACGACTTCTTCAACAGTTTCTCTGCTGTTGTATCCCACGTGCAGGACCTAGCTTCAGCAACCCGTGAACACCTAACCCGAAACCCCCACATGGATCCTAAACCCAAGTCTTCTTCGATTCGGGATCTTCTTCATGCTTTTTGGCTCAAAGTTCGTGGGCGCTGGAGCGCCGGAGCGGGGCTTCTTGACGCAAAAAGCAGGGTCATCAGGTTTTGTTTGTTCGTCAAGACTATATGAGATTTGGACTTGGGGATGAAGGATACAAGCTTCGGAACAAGACGGGATAAGGCTAAACTCCCTGTGGTGATGCTTGGGAACCTTGTTTCGTTGTTGTCAGCAGTCAGCAGCGCGAAATTTGCAACTTGTCCGCACCTGTCATGATTTCAATTATCAATCCTCTGGTCACTCGAACCGGCATAGCAAGCAATATAAACGTATTGGATAGCAGTATACAGACGCCGTGTACGGATCACAGGGCATTAAAGAGGCGAATAGGCGCTTAGCAAAGAAATGTCTTATGCCATAATGACAAAGAAGATTCGCGATGCCTTTGCAGTGTATTGCAGCCTTGAAGCCTCTCCTTTCAGCCTGAAGGAAATGTTCCGCGCCAGCGACATTCATGGCTGGAGCCTCTGAGACCACCGCTTTCGCTACACTTCGGAGTTTACTGGGATTGGGCTTTGTGACGTAGCGCTGCTTCGGGGTTGAGAGTCAATTGTGCTAGCTCTTGTGCACAAATTTGAGAAGCTCACCATCGCTGAGTGATGACTTCAGCATCGCTTAAGATCATCATGGCTTGAGCTGTGTGCTTTTTGAATTTTATTAGATGCCAGTCAGTCATGTAGCCGGCATTTTGCATACAGCTTGTTTTCTTTGTTTTCTGAGCTTCCTTAGTATTAAACAATTACATCCTCCTGCTAGACCTAAATTCTGATTCACAGGATAATTCTTAAAGCCTACGACCCCAAGTCCTGTTCAAGCTCCTAAGCACCTACCTCGGTCCTGAACTTCCGGATTCAAACGTTCAATACGTTTGGAAGCCAAACCCCGCGCCCCACAATTCCTGTGCCCACAGCCCCTACATACACTCCTCCCAACTTTCAAGTTTCCTTGAATACCCCCTTCAATTTGAGTTTCAGCGTACCCTCCCCCAAGCCAACATGGATTCCAACAAATGACTTCTGTCCACGGACTACGTGTGGGGTTCAACACCCTCCTTGGGAGGTGCGCCAGCGGGGCCCAGAGGTCCGGCTCTGGCCGCAGGCCGCTAAAAAGCCTTCAGCGGGGATTTGGGTGTTTTGGGGCACGGGGGTGTTTTGAACATGCAGCCTTAAAGGGGTTTCTAGATCAGGGTCATCATAAAAGATGCCCGTGAGTATCAAGTTTCATACGTTGAGACCCAGGGCAATGAGTCTGATTTGATTTTCAGAATCAGTTACCAAGAACTATCAAGCACCTCCAAGCCTTGACACGCATTTGAATATTTAGAGCCTTGGCAAATTTCATCAGAGAAACCTAGAAACCCCTGTAACGCGTTTCAATTCCTCCTGTCGGACCTGGAGGCAAGGCCACAGTGCCGCCGCCCTGGTGGGCCTTGCAAGTTTGCTGGAGGTCTGGGGTCCGCATTTCGTTGCCGTTGTGGGATTGTGAGGTCCAAGATCTTGGGTCCCTGTATATTCGGGGTTCCATTGTCCACGGGCTCGGGGCTCAATTTTCGACCATCAACCCTAGCATCCGTATCTCTATGCAATGCAGAGCCATTGTCCTGCAGGCATCCTTCATCTCAACTCTGCAACTTCTTTGCCTTATCGTCAGTTGCACACTCTTCCCTGCAATTCGAAGGCCAGGTTTTGTAGGAGGTAAGAGGGGCGGTGTTGAGGCTTCGGAGGGAGGAGGCGTGCCAAGCACTGAGGCGATTAGGAAGTGCTGCTACCTCTAGTTTCCTGAACCTTACGCCTGAACTCAGGGAGTACAGGTAAACTTGCGCACCAAATCAAATGGCAGGGCTTCGACTGGCAAGGGCTGCGGCGGCAAAGGCCTCCAGCCTCGCCTTCGCTCACTGAAGATAGCAGCATGCTACGGGGTCTTTGGGGACTCTTTCATTAGAGAGGAAGGGATAGTAATTCGCCACAATGAGTGCTGGACGGCCATGAGTGATGGAATTCGCCGCCTCAAGAGCTACCAGGTCCCAACAGTATAGGGACAATCTTGATGCCCAATGCTGGTCTGGCAGCCTACCAGTCTGCCAGTAGTGAGTATATGTAGAGGTCATAGGGTTGCCGATGGAGATGAAGGTGTTGTGTCTCAACGTTGTTTTGACTCTGACCAGCACCGCTGTGGAGGCTCATATGCTGGGCATGTAGTGCACATGGTGGACAGGTCGGGCTGCAGGTCTCTACCCACTCGGACTTATTGTCCTCATCTGCATTGAGCTTTAACAATCATAGCACACGTAAACGCCATCCAATGCCACAGCACCTCCTCCTCCACCTCCACTGGCACCACTGCCACGTCGCCTCCGCGACCAGAAGCTCAAAGACTGAACACCGAGCATCCAATTTCCAAGCCAATGCAGCTGCAAGCCCTCGAAATAATTCTGAACATCGTGTGGGTAATTTTCCAGGATAAGCAATCACTTCAACCACAATGGCGAATGGTGTTGAGAAACCCTACGCCCTAAAATCCAAAAACGAATTCCTGCAGAACACAGACACTACATGTCCCCGTTTTTCACAGAAGCCTCCGTGTACCGATGCAGGCAGCTCAGATCTTGGTGCAGGCGGCGGCTGCATAGGCCTGCTGTGCAAAGAGTCTCACGCGAAGTGCACACGGGGAAAATTGCCAGAATCAGTCTCGCAGAGTCGGATTTGCTTTCTTATGCTGACAGGCACCGAGTGATGACTGCACTATTCCTTGGACCAGTGTAAGAATGCGGTTGCCCGAGACCCCAACAGTTCGCGAACACCTACTCGTAGATGGAGGTAGGAATCCCCAAGTCCCCAACACGCAAACATCGACGCATCTAACCCCCCAGACCATGCATCCAAACACCCCTAACACCCTGACATTTCTAGACGGAGCCTGCTTTCAGGCAAGAGCACTCCAGTGCCACCGCCATGGCTACATCCCGAGCTGCTCGCGGGGTTCAGGGCTTTTTGAGGCCTCTGGGTTTGTGTTATGGGTTTTCAGGCTCAGAGCTTCCACGCGTTACACAGGACGCGGACATCAAAGACAGCTCCATTCTCTGGAGTTTCTCAGAACGGGCCAAAAAGAAATCTCAAACGTGTTCCCAAGCCTTCATAGTAGCAATGCTAGGAATGAGAACAAGACTTCAGCTGCCATTGTCCTTGTAGAGGACCTCTGCTGTCAGACAGATCGTACTGTTTCCAGAATCATGTTCTCACGTGTATTTCCTGCGAGCTTTCTTGTGGCGTCCGAACCCAGCGGAGCGTCAATTAGCAAACATGAGGATTGCTAGACTAGAAACAACCAGAACGTTCAAGAAACAGCATCTTTCCGTGAAGTATGCTTGTTATCTGTGAGAGAAATGATGGATGCTTCTTCCCAAAACACATGACAGTGTTGTTGTTTCTTGCCGCAAATAGATACTGGCAATAAAATGATTCTAAATTCTGCGCTTGAAAAGAAACGTTAAGCTCCATGCCCAAGACCAATAGTTTGTTCTTTTCGGGGAAAGTGCAAGTCCTGGATTCAAAACTCTGGGTGTCGAACCCCAACCTTCACATCCTCATCCTCGCAACTCCAGGTTTGATATGGTTTGATGAAAACTAGCCCTGAGCACCGCCAAGCTTGACTTACAAGCAGCAGAGATCCCTTCTCCTAAGGTCCAGCGGCGCGAAAGGTTGGAGCAAAGGCAGGAAGCCATGCAAATCAGAAGATTCTTGCGGGTTGCGGGAAGGGAGGAAACGAATCAAGGATTTCCCGCTGGTTTTGGGGCTTGGTTTGGAGTCTTGGGCTTGACGGTTTAGGATCTTGCAGAGGTTCGTACAGTGCTGGTAACGGCTACAGGCTACAGGATGCGTTTGGGACCGCATTCATAGAGTAGTATCAACAGCAT